GTTTACTCTACTAGCCCTGCAGTTCTAGTGCTTCTGTCTGTCAGCTGCCTTTGAGGCTGTGGACCACGAGATCCTTCTGTCTCATCTAGAACATGAAGGTGGAATCCAAGGCACAGTTCAGACTTGGTTCAAATCATACCTGACAAACAGAAGTTTCTCTGCACTTCTACAACAGCACCACTCACTTGTGGAGTGACTCAAGGGTCCATTCTGGGCCCACTTCTTTTCATTGTATATCTTGCCTCTAGGTTCTATCTTTAGAAAACAAAGTATTTCTTTCCACTGCTTTGATCTTGACTTCCAGGTGTGTATGCTCATTCAGCTGAACAGCAGAGATCCATGGAAACCCTTGTTAAACTGTCTTAGCAACATCAAGTCAGTCATCTAACCAGATGCTTTTACGCAAACCTAAAACCAGATTAAAACAGAGAAGTGGTTAATAGCAATACATATATGGAATAATGCATATATCCATGCATCTATCTGCACAGGTAGGACAGTACACACATTTACATTTTTATTAAAAAATAAAATTATAATTGAAAACACATTTTTCTCCTTATTTTTTGGCACCAGTGTGACATCCTTTATAGACTATACTTTTATTTATTTTTATTTAAAAAAAGTATTGAGAGGATTTGTTGTGAGATATTGTGAGTTGAGTTATTGTACAATTCTGTTCTTTTAAATGTTTGACAACTTAATAAAGAATTTATTTATTCTAAACAATTTATTCTTATTTCTTTAGTTGAATACATGTAAATGCCAAGACAAGACAGTTTGACAAGTACAAAATATAATTTTTCGACGTTTTTTTTGTATCCATGCATCTGTAACACCTGATGTATAAGGGATAATTAATTTCACCAATAACATCTAATTTGTAAAGATGAAATATAATTATTTTTGATATTTCCAAATTATGATGTTTACAATATCAATCTTATATTACTAAATTGACACTTAACTACTTGACACATTAACTTATGAAGTCAAGTTTACTGTATTTATGGACTATATCAAAGTTTAATGTCGGCTAAATCTACTCAAGTAATGGGATTTCAAGCCAGGTGAATTAGTTGAACCTACAAATTCACCTCTTTTCCGAACGTCATTTTTTGCGTTTTTGTTAGGTGCATATCATATACGTGTATAGATAAAAAAAAGTAAGTATCCAACCACAGTGAAAGTTGTGAAACCTTCTTTACTGTGGGAATGATATTTGATTAAATATATTCTTAAATACAAATTTACTCAAAGGGGGTGAACCATGTTTGGTTGAGGAGTGCAGTATAGCACACTTATTTTTAGACAGTCGATGGTTGACGTGGTCCCGTAATCATTCATAGATGTAAATTAATTTTCCTGTTTATAAACATACAATAAGCCCCATCCTTATCCTGTATTTTATTATTTTATGTTATTTCATTGTTGTCAGTGTGATTAGGTTAATCAGTTTGCGAACAGCACGAAAGAACCGAAGAATGTCGTAGCATCTACTAATATCCTGAAGAAAAAAACAACAACAACAAAACCCCTCCAGACTCCTCCACATCCCCGGGCCATGTGCAGACTGGAAATGCTCTGCATCTCTGAGCACGCCTTGATTAGTTTTCCCACAATGCAACGCGGATCTGTCATGGCTGCTCACTGATTCCGCTTGCTCCACATGGGCAGAAATAAACATTTTATCACTGATAGAGACGCTCCGAATCGGCTCGTTAGTACAGCGCTTTATAGCTGGCTTTTATCTGGGACCGTCCTGACTGAAGGCAGCAGCTCCAGCTTGACTTTGGCAGGAACCAAATCCGTTCAGTCATGCCGCCGCTAGACGTGGAGATCGCAGCACTCCGAGGGTTTTTAACTGCCAGTGAAACAGCGGAATGGAAGCAGAACATTTTCAGTATTGCAGGTGAGGCAGCCGCTTGATTCTGCTCCTTTATTCACCACGTAGCTATTGACACTGTCATAACGAGGTTAGTTTTGTCTCAGGTTCTCAAAGCTGTCAGGTTGTGCTTGCCTGCCAAGCGAAGGCGCATTTAAAATGTAGAAGCATTTGATGGTAACAGCTCTGGTCTTAAGTGTAATCTTTAACGGTATTGACAGGACTTCCTGTGTTGTCTTAATAAAAGTGTTGAGTGCTAGAGCAACAGTCTAAATGAGTTCATGTTCATGTAATGTCTGCTAAGCAAACTTAGCTACGGTACGTGTCATTCGCGCTCTGGTGGATGTCACACCAAATCCCATTTATTTTTTTTGGCAGTAAATACTTGCATTGCTTGTGGGCAGCGGAAGCTATTGCGTCTTGTAATATTGTAAAGCGATTTAAAATTTGGTATGTAACTATGCTATTCGGCGTTAATCTTATACTGGGATTGATTTTCAGTAAATGATGAAGTCGATTTAAAAGAAATTAAACATTAGCTAACGTTAGCTTTAGTTCGCCCAGTTGTCCCAATGTTCGTTGGAGACGTAGCTGGACGGAAACTAGATGGTTATGTTGAAAAGCTATGAACTAAAGCTAGCGTGGTTGTTTTTTTTTTCCTGGTAGGGTTTATCATTAGAGTCTAGCATGACGTCTTCTTTCCATACACCTGCGTCCAGTCGACTCGAGCCGCATCTGTCAGCTGCGTTTAGAACCCTGAAACTAATCCACAACTGCCAGAAAGCCCCAATGGTAGACATCCTGTATTAAACAGTGCTGTCTGTTTAACTAGAGCTCTCTTTGTTACCAGCAGGCTTTAAATGGCCAGACTGCGAGATTCCTGCTAGATAACCCGTCTCTAGTGTGACTTCAGTACGGTTTGTTCCTAGACCACGTCTTATTTCTGCCGCAGTAATTGACAGTGCATTAGCATTTAATTAAACTGGAGTGATTTGTCATTGGAGATATGAAAGAAACTTAAGGTAGGGACGAAAATTGCAGTCTTAAAGCACAATATTCAGCAACTAGCTGTAAATCTATTATCCAGTTCTTGGAAGACAATTTCTTATAAGAATGAAAGAGCCTTTCACTGTCAGTTTAAAGGTAACATGATAGTCATTTTTTTCTGTTGAAATAAAACGGCCAGATTGAAATATTTAGGAAAGCATTAGCTTTGGACTGCATAGCAATAGTCAGACTTTACCCCAGATGCTCTGTTATACTGGAAGGCTGAGGCTGTAGAATAAAGTAGCCTAAAACAATGAAGGAAACGAGAGATGGCTCTTTATTACAGGGTCCCACTGTAGCCAGGTAAGTACTTAATGACCTGTACCTCATTTGATTTTGGTGTGACACGTTTTCTATGTTGAAAATGAAACAGATATGTCTTTAAATTGGACACAGCTCACAGTGAGTGACACCACTGTTGTTCTCGGGCTGTAAATGGTTCGATGCGCTCTGCTAAGGTGCTCTATGTGCCAGAATGTGTGCAGGCGTCGTCCATCTCTCTGACATCCACACTGTCTTCTTATGGGCTTTGTTGGTTGAGTGGCATGGTTAAGTGCTGCGATCTTTTGCAAGATCCCAAAACAGTCATACTGGTTTCTGTTTTATCCTTGAAAGAGATACTTTTTCTCTCTCCATTTAACGTCATTAGACACCTTTTCTTCATAGCTGGCTCTAGAGTTTTTGTAGTTTGCTGCATCTAAGGTGCCCTACAGTACAAAGAATGAAAACTCCTCTGTACACCATTGCATCTGCTTGCTTACATATGCAGTTTATTTTGGGTTTTTCACACAAAAAACATAGATGGAAAATCAGTAAATGTAGCTGAAAAACTGTGCATCAATTTGTTTGTCATGATCTTTATATGTTATCCAGGTATGAATACAAAAAAACTGTTTCCTTCCTGCACTGTCATTGCGAGATGTGTTCATGCTGTTGGTATGAAAAGTCTGTCGATGGTTTTATGTGATGAATGCACATTTGAAGATGTAATTAATTTGGTGCAAAAAACCGCAGGCACTGCTCTCTCTTTTTATTTTATTTGATGCGCTTCATTTGATGTACGTACTTGTACAGATGGACTTGTTAAAAATTTGTTCTTAAAAATTTCTTATTTTTATCAGATCGAGAGGTCTTTCTGTTTACCCGATCCACTGTTTTATTGTACAGCTATTCAGGTAACAGTTTTTTGTACTCTTACCTAAGTTTAACTGCCACTCTTTGATACTTTAAATTAAAACTGCATACTTTTATTCAACAACTACATTATCAGTTATGTTTAGTGTAAGTGCCATTTGTAGTTACTTCATGTTTTCATTTGAGGTAATTTGTTTGATAAAATTTGATGTTTGAGAATAATGTATATTGTTATCATTTCAGTTTATTTTGGAAAGTCTCAACAGGTTGTTGAGCTTTATTGTGAAAGGTTGATGCGGAAAATAAACAAGCGGACGGCGGAGCCACACGATGGTTTTAACGTCGTTGTTGCTAACAAACCGACGCGTAAAACAGTCGCATGTCTGACCGTAGTGTTATTATTTTTAATATAAGAGAAAGAGAGAACTATAAGAAGAAATTAACATAGCAGCTACATTTAGCTAACATGTTCATCTAACAGTTTAAGATGTTTGCCAAATAGTTTGCAAGCTACAATACTGTGCATAAATCTTGAGCCACCCCTGATTTCTTTATAAACTTAGCACAAAAAGTAAGGAAATTTGTGTTTGGCCAATTATGTCTTTGTTGTAACAATGCTTCTTGGCATAGAAGCTTGGGTGGCTGTAGCTCAGGAGGTAGAGCAGGTCACCTACTGATCGGAAGGTTGGAGGTTCGATCCCTGGCTCCTCCAATCTGCATGCCAAGTATCCTTGGGCAAGATACTAACCCCAAAATGCTTTCCGATGCGTCCATCGGAGTGTGAATGTGTGTGAATGTATTTAGAAAGCATTATCTATAATCAAAGTGCTTGTGAGATTGGGTGAATGTGGCATGTTGTATAGAGCACTTTGAGTACTCCGGGAGAGTAGAAAAGCGCTATATAAGAATCAGTCCATTTACCATTTACCATTCTTGGCAGTAAATCATATACTGCTGGAAACCCTGCGTATTTCCCCGTAGTAAGGAAAATGCATGTGGGTTGAGCAGCACAACTAAAAATGAAAAAATCAACTCTGATAACTTAAGAAAAACTTGGCAATGTGAAATTGGCTTTTCTGTTGGCTCATGTTTGGTGTCATTTATTGGTTTGGATGAATAAACAAGACCTATTGGCAATTAATCAGTTGCAAAACCATGTAAATCACAGTTCAACAAAAGAATGCTTAATACTAAAACAGTGAATTTGAAATGAAACCACATATGTATAGGCTTTCATCTTTAATTCAAGGGGTTAAGCCAAAGTATTGTATTTATAACAGTTTTATGCATTGTCCTCCATTCACAGGGTGATAAAATTAATTGGACAAAATAACATCATTTGAAAAATAATTTACTGCAAGATTTGGGTAGCTCTAGCAGGCAGAAACTAAAGACTGCAGCCGTCTTTAGTTTCTGAGATTAGCTAACTGACTTGGCCAGTGAAGAATATCCCATTTCTTTGCCCTGAGAAACTCTAGGGTTGCTTTTGCAATATGTTCTGGTTCATTATCTATTTGCACTGTGAGGTGGCATCCAATCAGTTTTGCAGCAGTTGGCTAAATCTCATTAGAGAGCATAGCCCTTTGTACTTCAGAATACATCCGGCTATCAACAGTCGTATCAGCAAGAAACACTACTGGCCTGGCTCCATTGGCAGACATACATGTCCATGCAATAACTTTGCCAGATGACAAATAGTAAGCTCTCCCTTTCCTTTTCCAAACTTGTGTACCTACTCCATACTTTTCACCACTCTGGTACAAGTCAGTCTTGGTTTCATCTGAAGCATTAGATTGTTTTTTATGTGAGAATTTATAGGAGTAAGTTAATTTGACACCGCTTGTGTCGAGCCAAATGAGATTGTTTGACTTTCTTGGCAGGTAATATTTCATAAACCATTGTTCTTATATCCCCTCCACCTATTACCATGGAAGTGTTGTGGCAAGATTTATGATGAACTGACATCTTCTTCTGCATTATTTCCCAAAAGTGTGTCGTATCAGAGGTGGTGTAGGGTGTAGATGATCGTAGAACATAAGACTCAGAATTAAAGCCAGGCTAATGCAGCTGATTAAGCTTTTATGCAGATTATCGAAGCTGTATGGACAGCCCTGCTTCAAGAAGGACAAGCAGCCTGTGACTGTGTGCATTTTTTAGTTTTTCACTAACTCCACACAGTAGAGAAATTGGGGTTCCCGTGTGAGCTATTCCTGATCTTTCATCTTGAATCTATATTGCTTCTCAGCCCTGTACGCTTTTGCAAATTCTATTCACCATTTTCTTATTAACTGCAGCTCAATGCCTGAACGTTTATGAATTATGGACTAATTTGAGGGCCCCTGCCTTGTTTTCCGTAATTGCTGCCATTTCATCAGTAGACCTGAAGAGTAGTTGAAATGTCATTAAACATGTGGCCATACCTCAGGCTTTCATTTTCCCCTCATAAAGCCGGAGCCTTCCTCCTCTCGTCTTCTCCCTCCCACCTCACTGCGCTGCTATGGCAGCCCCTGGGTTTCATTAGATCGGCAGTCAGATGAAAATCTCCACACCTCTTTTACAGCACCAGTCACACTGCAAGCATTTATTAAAGCCAAGGGGACAGTTGAGCAACCATGTGACTGGCCTGTGGATGTGGACATGTGGGATAGGCTCACATTCCTACATGAAAATAGTTTTCTATCTTTGACAAAACGATGGTGTTTGGATTCGAGGATGCATGTCATTGGTAATGGGGATGCACCGTCTTATTGTTTCTAACAGATTCATTCAGGTTCACAGTAACATCACAGCTGGGAAAAGCACTTAACATGTCTGATGAACAGATATATCATTTATACAGAAACAGCGAGAATTCTCAGTAAGCAGCTGCAGCCTGTCGTTGTCATTCTCTGACTAGAGCAGATTGTAACCTGTCCCTAAACAATTAAAAGTGAAGGTATGTTGGTGCCGTGAGAGGGTGCAGCAGCTGACTATCAACTCGGTCTAATCAAAGTATAGCGTTCTCAAACTTTCCACAATGAGTACCACCTCAGGAAACATTTGGCGCTTTAGCAGTGGACATGGGTCAGCATTGGCACCCTGACTGGTCTGCAGCTATACAGCCCCCTACGCAACAAACGTTGATACACAATGTAGTTGTGTATATTTTAATCTTTTAAAATACATAGTAAAAAGTATCAGAGCAAATTTTGTAGTAATTGGCAATGCCACTGAACGGGAAGTTGTGCAGTGTCCCTGCACAGTGGAAAAAACGAATATACATTTTAGCATTCAAGGCATGGTGAGCTGTCTGGAAATCAACTAAGCAAACCTCTTTTGGATATAGAGAGATTTTATTTATTTATTTTTTAATTTTAAAAAAAGGTTTTTTGTTGTCCACACCTGGTTTGTGATGGAGACAATCTTGTCTGTTTCTCAACTTGGCCAGGCTTTGTTATGCAGCTCAGAGCACAATCTACTTCCTCCCCTCTATTCCCTCCACAAGGGTAGCACAAAGTAATCAATGCTAATGAGCCAAGCCAGTCTCCCTGCTCAAATAAAAAGCTAATGAAAGACGGGGAGATGTTGAACGGAGCACTCGGGCAACACAATTATTTCTTGTTGGCAAGCGATGGCCCAGCAGCTGCCCTCTGTCTTTCAATAAATCGACATTTTTCATCATCTCTGTATCAGCCTTTTCAGCATGTCCTCTTTATCTCACAAGTGTGCGGTGGTTTTGGAGCATTAGCCAGGTAAATACACACTGTATGCAGTATAGGTAGGGGATTGTTTATAGCAGAATAAGGCTACAGTGGAAATAAGTGCATTAGCACCACTGATGTCAACTTGGGCTTGGTCGTTGTTTCAACATCAAACTTTGTCCCTGTTTACATTGTTATACAGCTAGATTTCGCAAAGCAAAGCTTTCTTGTTCTTTTAAGGGTTTTAAAGAAAAGACTCATTATAGAGAGCAAAATGTGTTTGGTGCCACAGTGCAGTCAGATCACAGTTCTGATTGCGAAAGCTGCCAGACCAGACAGGATTTAAAAACAAAAAATCAGACCAATCGATTCAGCTTTACACACAAACTTAAACTACACTTTCTTTGTAGCAATTGGTTTTTTTTTGTTTTTTGCATTTGGGTATAGCAGATCTACATAGTTTTGTTTCTGTCATTTATGTTAAGTACAGTGAATTTGTGTGTCATGAAATGCAACTCATAAATAAGATTGCCATTGCATAAAAGGTATTACCTGTTTCTTTGTTTGCTGCAAAAGAAGTCAAACAGTGTTTGACATCATTTGACAGCTTGACAACTGCAAGTATTAATAACAGTACTGGCCTAAAAAAAATCCTCTTATCCGTTGGAATATCCTTTTGAGCAGTGAGTGTCCAAGGCATTGATCTTTCAGGTCTAACCAGTTACCAAAGGCTGGCGTGATGGTTTAGAGTTCAACACCACATAGCAAATTGCCAGAACCACAATGGAGCTTCTTCAGCAGAAGTTTGCAACGGACTCCGTCAAAACACGGACTCAGCGCCACAGAGCACTGATGGAAAGACCCGAAGATGGCAGTTCAGATGTTTTACAGACATCTGAAGCTCTAAAACTGCAATTACTGCTAAAGACTTGTTCTAGTGCGCGCACACACACACACACACACACACACACACTCCTTTTTTTGCCTGTCTATGATTGCACCAGTCACTAGGCTTTTTTTTTCTCTAAACATTGAAACAATGTAATTGTTATGAGATGGTCAATACTGTGTTGGTATAATGTTCTTTGGTCCTTGGGGTATGAGGGGTTGGGGTATGAAGCAGTGACACTAAACATGTTCTTTTCTTTTGGCAATAAACAAAAGTCTGTTCTTATTCACAACATGCCGTATTAAAGCAATGTATGATATTTCCTGGCAATATTGGGATCGTCATTCATGTACTTGATCCAAATTTCCTTAACTGCAGTACACAGCATTATTTTTTTAGTTACAGAAACCAAATGGTAAACTTCACTTCTCCAAACATATTGTCTTCCAGAGGCAGGCCCTCTGCTGGAGTCCCTTATGGAAGGGGACTTTGAAGCAGTTCTGCTGAGCACGGAAGTGACAGATCTGCTCAAAGGACATGGCGACTACCACGAAGGGGAGAACATCGAGTCCTACTTGGAGAGACGTTTACTACTGTACCTGACCGATGGCACCAATGATAACCAGACCAACAGGTACTATTAGGGCTGGGTCACTTGATGTCTATAACCGATTCAATTCTGATTCACAAGGTCCTGATTCAATTCAATTCTAATCGTTTATCAGTACATATCCATCCATCCATTCGCTTCCGCTTATCCTTTTCAGGGTCGCGGGGGGTGCTTTTGTAAACTTCTAAAAAAGTGAGTTTTCTGAATTGAGGACACTAAGATGTCCATGGTGACCCAGAGATGGACAGTGTAAATCATTGTTTCTTTCTCTCCATTCACCCCCAATATTCCTTTTGGCATGAAATATTAATTCTTTAATAAGTTCAGGTTAACATCTCTCACTTCTGATTCTCAGGGCAGAACTGTACGTGAGTAAATGTTGAATCCAGCTCTCGTTCCTTCTCGTCCTCCTTCACCCCTCATAATGTTTTGTCTCTTCCATCACCCTCCATCATTTTCTCATCCTAATTGAAATGCAGCAAAACACGTCGATGGTTGTCCCTTCCATTGCCAGAGTTACTGGCTGTAGTCTGTTTTTTCCTAAAGACCTGAGTGAGCATCTCTCTCAAAGAAAGTTCACTTGTTTTTCTCACTTCTGAAAAGTATTTTTGAAAAATCTCTCTGCAATATTTCTGTGCAGTAAATCTGCTGTGTGTCTTGTCCCTCTGGCTGCAGGGAGTTGGCAGTCTTGGCCTTGGCTGTCTCATGTCTCCACATGTTTGCTCAGAGTAACTGGACTGGTCCTCCGGTCTCCTTCGATATCTGTGATCTGCTGACCCCAGCCCTGTTGTCATCTCAGGTATGATTTCTTCCTTCTCCTTCATCATCCTGTCCGTTCTGCAGTGATTTATAGGCTGGCGAAAATTTGAACAGACCTTTGTCAAGGTTTTGTTGATTTTTTTTTTTTCATGGGCTTATCAGTAAATGTCAACATATATCGGAATTAAGTCAGTTAGCTTAGAAGTTAAACGGTGAAACTGTAATAGAGGAAACTTGAATAGTCTTTTGGGAAAAGCAAAGGAGCTGAGTGTCAGCTAAACTGAAACAGATATGTGTGATTTTCTTCATGTTTGGGGATGCAGGTTGTTTGAGGTTGATTGACCTTGCTGAGTGTATAAAGGTTATTGCATTATTGAATTTCAAAGCAGAATTTACACAGCAAAATCTCTGAAATGAAAAAAAAAAAAGCTTTTTGAGACAAAGTAAAGATGTGTAAATTTCAAGTCTGCCATGCAGCATCACTCTGCTGTTTAACAGAAATCCTGAAGAACCAAATCAACTTAAGATTTGTGCTTTTGTGTGTGTGTGTGTGTGTTCTAATACAATCTATTGAATTTAGGTGTTCCAGTTGCTTCTACAGGTGTAAAAAATCAAGTACCTAGGCCTGCAGACTGCTTCAGCAAACATTTGTGAAAGAATGGCACTTTCAGAGCTGAGTGAATTCCACCGGTAATGTGATAGGATGCTAAACTATCTGTTTAACACGTCCGGTCAGCTCTGAGCAGTGGAAGAGCTATAATACTGCTAAGCATTTGGAAACAAAAACAACTTGGCCACAAAGTGGTAGGCTATGTAAAATCACAGAGCAGGGTCAGCAAACACTAAGGTGTATAATGTGCTGATGTCAGTCACTACAGGCCTTCATGTGGCCTTCAGATTAGCAGTGGAAAGAGCTTCCATGGCCGAGCAGCTGCGTCCAAGCCTTACATCACCTTGGCAGGTGGAGTGGTGTAATGCATGCCACCACTGGACTCTTCTTTGTCTGGCAATCTGATGGACGAGTCTGAGTTTGCCAGTTGCCAGGAGGAAAGTACTTGTGTGACTTCACTGTCCAAGTGTAAAGATTCTAGGCTTGATTTTTCAGGAGCTGAGCTCAGCCCTTCGGTTCCAGTGACAGGAACTGGAACTTAATGCTTCAACATACCAAGACATTTCGAACAATTTCATGTTTGTAAATTTGTGGGAACAGTTTGGTGGATGCACCTTTGTGCTACAACATTCCCAGTGCACAAAGCTAGGTCCATAAAGACCTGATAGAGTCAGGATTTAGATTTGGGATGAATTGGAGCAGAAGCTGCGATCCAGGCCTTCTCGTTCAACATCATTTCCTGACCTTACATGTGTTTCTGGAAGAATGATCAAAAATTCCCATAAACGCACTCCCACACTTGCCAGAAAAGCTATAGCTGTTATAGCTGCAAAGAATGGGCTGAGATCATATTAAACTCTATCGAATAAGAATTCGATGTCACTCGAGTTCATATTGAAGTGAATACTTTTAGCAATATCGTGTAATTATGAGAGCAGACTTTTAATTGACTAAGTTATTATTTGAAGGAGTGAGGTACTTTAAATTACAAGCTAAATAACATCCCAATTCCTACTGATTGGTAAGTCTGCATATTATAAAATATATCAATTAATCATAGTCTTGTCAAAGGGGGTCAAAGCTTCATTTTAAGTTGGTGTATAAAGTGACCTGAATCGAGCAGAGCCAGACGGAGCTCTGTGGACTAGAAGAGCTCAGTACTGAAGCATCTCTGGAGTCCTAATTACTTGGGTTTAGGAGATTGCTTCCCCCTGGCACTGCAGTGAGCACAATAGAGCATTTCACCCTGCCATAACACCAGAAGAGAGGACCAATCCTTTTATCAAAGTAATTTCTTTGGTGTCAGTGATTTATCTCTGCTGTCACATGAAGGAGGCTGCGGTATGAAGCAGGTCACCCATACATGCGTGGCAGCATGGGTGGAAGGGAGGACAAACATGGCAGAGCCATAATCGTGTGGAATTAATTCTGATAAATTTTTTTTAAAAAGTTAAAATGCACTTCCGAGTCCGATTAATGTAGATGATCTTTTTCAAATGAATTGTGACCTTACCGTGTTCTTAAGACTATATATGTATGTATCGTTTTAGTCATGGGCTGCTAGGACACTTGCATAGAACAGATCTTAATGTGATGGTACTAAACACACAGTTTTTCTACAAGTTTGAGCACCTGCTGTGAAATGAGTTTTTCTTGCACTGTTGTTGTGAAGGGGAGCCTGGATTTCATCTCTCATTCATGTTAGTGAGACGAGAGAGTGTGACGGAGAGGATGACACGATGAATTTAAGTAACTGAAAAACTAAAACTGGGAAACTTCAGTAAAAGCTGAACTCGGGCTGACTCGGATCTAGCTAAACGATTGTCATTCAGTGGGTGGACAGCTGTATTGCATGACGAACGACTTTGACAAAACATGTTGAAATGCCATCTAACTTAGTGTTTGCAGTGTAATAGGCAGGTCCTTTTTGTGCCTTAATGTGCCTTTAGGCTTCTAATCAACAAAAAGTTGATTTGCAGAGCTAGGCTGAAGCAGCAGCGGCGACTCAGCAATAGAAAGAAAGCAGTGCTAATGTCAGACCTTCATTTTTGTCAGTGTGAGGACTTAATCCTAATTTCCTGACTAGGAGCCTCAGATGCTGGTTGATGCCATCCACTCCAGCCTGCTCCTGGATGGGGAATCGGTGTATAGCCAGGTGGCCAACCCCTTTCTCCTACTGTTGGCCAGGGTAATTGTCACCAAATGCTTCCCCAAGATGGATAACCTTCAGGTAAGTCAGTCTTTCTGTTACAATGATCGTAGAATTATCTGAACTTATGTATTCATTATAAATATATGCATTATAATAATAATTTTCATTGATGTTTACTCGCGGCCTGCAGAATCTTTTTAAATCAATTTTACAAGTCATCGTGTTGTTTCCATACATAACGAATCCATCCATCCAAAAATCTATGCTAACACTTGATGACACAATCTACACCAGAGATGAAAACTGGAGACCAACTCACATCTACTTCATAAATTTTAAGGTCACTACATCAATAGGATGTGTGTTTGTAATTGTTAAGTCTAATTGTTGAATGTTGTTATTTGGTTTCTTAAATTTGTACAGTCTTGGTTCAAGCAGTAGGATCAAAGCTATTCCTTTGTTCCTGACCACCTCTCCAGCCACTCTTTTGTTGCAGATACATGCTATCTGAAAGATCTGTTTCTTGTGTTGTAAGCTTCCTGCTTTTATGATCCTTTTGGTCAGCAGGAGGTCACATACACACGCACACACTCACGCGC